ACCCTTAACCAGAATCAAACTCAGGATCCTTCAGTCTACAGGCCAACACTCTATCCACTGAGCCAAACCAGCTAGGTCAGCAACTCTTATTTGTTCTGTAGAGTTCCCTGGGTTCTCAATTTTGATCATTACATCCTTGATGTGTTGCTTTATATATATATATATTATGTTTCCTGTGAATTGGTAGTGGCAGATCAGATTTCAGTTTGATTTTTATAAGGATTTATTCTTAACTGATGCTGTCACCTACTTCATTAGGTGGTATGTAATGTCTGGCTTTATCTTTTCCTGTGATGTTAGCAGTCATTGAGAATCAGTGCCTACAATGTATTCTTTATTTTTAGTTGATTCCTTTTCATATCTTCATAGGTCTCATTTATTTTATGGGCCTTTTCTAGGAAATTCCTGAAAAACCTTATAACTGTGGTTTTGAACTCTATATCCAGTCACTTTTTTCCTCCATTTCTTTCATTTGTGATCTGTTTCCTTGTCTCGCCATTTTCGCTGCTTCCCTGAGTTGGTAGGGTGGCTTTATGTGTTAAGGTGTCCTATACGGTTCCGTGGGTCAGCCTCCCAGTTATCTGAGGTAGACACTCTTGGTGCACCCCTTTGTGGACTGTGTGTACAGTCTTTTGTATTATAGTTAAGTCTTAATTGTTGGTATCACTGGGAGGAACTGACCTCCAGGCCAATTGGCTGTGAGGATCAGCTGTGTCTATGCCGGGAGACAGCCTTATTCAAAAGCCTCTGGTGCTCAGCTTGGATGGGGTGGAGTTTCAGGGTAGAGCCTACAGCCTTGGCTTCCTGTCAGCCCCACCCTATGAGGTTCCTGAGTCTCAGTGTCCTTTGGTACTCGCTGCAAACACCTCTGAGAGAAAGGTGTCTGAAATAAAAAATATTATACAGAATCTAAAAACAGAATGGAAGATGGCAAGAATCAAGTCAAAGATTTGGAACACAAAGAACCAGAGGACACTCCTCTGCAGAAGCAAGAAGACAAGAGAATTCAGAAAGTTGAAGATAATGTAAGAAACCTCTGGGACAACTTCAAGAGAACCAACATCAGAGTTATGGGGGTCCCAGATGATGAGAGAGAGCAAGATACCAAAAACATATTGAAAGAAACAGTGAAAGAAAACTTCCCCCACCTAGTGAAAGAAATAAACTTACAAGTCCAGGAAGCACACAGAACTCCAAACAAAAGGAATCCAAAGACAACCACCCAAAGACACATCATAATTAAAATTCCAAGAGCAAAATACAAAAACAGAATATTAAAAGCAGCAAGAGAAAAGCAGGTAGTTACCTATAAAGGAGCACCCATGTGATTGTCAGCTGATTTCTCAACAGAAACCATGCAGGCCAGATGGGAATGGCAAGAAATATTCAAGGTGATGAATAGGAAGAACCTACAGCCAAAAATACTCTACCCAGCAAAGCTATCACTCAGAATCAAAGGCCAGATAAAGAGCTTCACAAATAAAAATAAAAAAAAACTAAAGGATTTTACCACCCCCAAATCAAAATTATATGAATTGCTAAAGGGGGTTCTTTAGGAAGAGGAAGAAAATAAAGATAAAAATTATGAACAACAAATATGTAATTATCAACACAAGTGAATCTAAAAACCAAGGGAATTAAAAAATCTGATGAACAATATTAACTGGTGAATATAATAGAATCAGAGGTATGGAAGGGGAGTGGACTGACGATTCTCGGGGAAAAAGGGAGTGGGGGGGTGCGGGAAGAGACTGAACATAAACTGTGCACCTATGGATGAGGACAATGGGGGTGGGGAAAGGGCAGAGGGTGGAGTGGGAACCTGGTGGAGGGGAAAAAATGATGAACATTTGTAATAATATGAACAATAAACATTTATTTAAAAAAAAATAAAAAAAAAATAGAATCAGTGCCTAGATCCATTAATTCATAGAAACTGCAAAATAGTTATATTCTGTCATACCTTCTTCAGTCTTTGGTTTCAATAAGATGAAATTTCCCTTCCTCCACTATTTGGTTACCCTGAGATATAGTTCATTTAGAATATGTATGATAAATGGTAGATTCATTTCCTTTATTTACCTGTTTTTAAAGTAATGACTTGGTTCCTTAACATTCTTCAAAGGCGGTCAATAAAGGTGCCATTTTGACCTCGTAGTTTTACATATAATTAACGCAATTCAACTTACTGTACAAAAACAAGTGACATTTTTGTACAATCCTAGTGACCATCGATAGCATCCTTGTTCTATGATATAAAAAGATGTTTCAGACTCATCATGTATGTTTCACTCTCTTAGGCCAGGAATCAGACATTTCCTAAGAGACCCCACTTGGTATTTTTTAAAAATATATATTTTATTGATTTTTTACAGAGAGGAAGGGAGAGAGATAGAGAGCTAGAAACATCGATGAGAGAGAAACATTGACCAGCTGCCTCTTGCAAACTCCCTACCGGGGATGTGCCCGCAACCAAGGTACATGCCCTTGACCGGAATCGAACCCAGGACCTTTCAGTCCGCAGACCGACGCTCTACCACTGAGCCAAACCGGTTTCGGCCCCACTTGGTATTTTTAAGAGTAAATAAAATGTATATATTTAGATTAGGAGAGCTCAGACGAAGTTGATAGTAGATTAGCTAAGTAAGTTGACAGTTTTTCTTCCATGTGGTCAGAAAAAAAGCACTGACTGCCTAAAAAAAACTGTACTTGTGGGTTATGATTCTATGTCAATCAATAAAAAGAGCCCTGCCGGTGTGTCTCAGTGGTTGAGCGTCAACCTAAGAATCTAGAGGTCACAATTCAGTTCGATTCCTGGTCAGTGCACATGCCTGGGTTGCAGGCTAGATTCCCCCATGTGAGGCATGCAGGAGGCAGCAAATCAATGATTCTCTCCCATCATTGATATTCTTATCTCTCCTTTCCTCTCTGAAATCAAATTATATATATATATATATATATATATATATATATATATATATATATATATACACACACACACACACTAGAGGTAGAGGCCTAGTGCATGAAATTCATGCATGGTAGGGAGGGGTGGTGTCCCTCAGCCCAACCTGCACCCTTATCTTTCCACGTGCTAGGTCTTATTTTCGGAGGATGTCTTATTTTCAGGGAAACACGGGTAGCTCTCTATCCTTTTCCCTTCCTCTCTGTAAAAAAAAAAAAAAAAAATCAATAAAACATATTTTTTAAAAGAAACATTTAAATTCCTCCATATCTGCCTGCCTGGTGTGACCCCAGACTGTCACCACTGAAGGGGATCGCGCCCTGGACAGGATCAGACCCCAGCCCAGGCTGCTATCTTAACCTGGCCTGGGATGGCGAGGCAGGGGGAGCACACCCCAGCCAGTCTGAGACCCTAGCCCAGGGGATCACGTAGCTTGGGTGCGAGGCCCTGCTCGTCTGAGACCCCAGGCCAAGCTGCCGCCACAGCCAGAGGACAGCATGGCCCCAGCCCAGACTGCTGCCGCTGGCCTGAAGATCATGCTGTGGGGATGCGTAGTCCTGCCATCCTGAGACCCCAACTGAGGCTGCCACCATGGCCAGGGTATCGTGCAGCTTGGATGGTAGGCCCTGCTGGCCTTAGACGCCAGCCCAGGCTGCCGACCCTGGCCGGGATTGTGCCAGGCACTGGCACCTTCCAGCCAGACACCCTGGCTGCCACCACTGGGAGGGGATTGCTGTGTAGGGGACAGGCATCTCCCAGCTGGACACCCTGGACTGCCCCTGCTGGCTGGACTTGGGGACTCTGGCAGGACTTGACACTGCCATCTTGTGGCTATGGGTGCCACCATTTTTGTGGTGGAGTGATGGTTAATTTGCATATTACTCTTTTATTAGATAGGATATCTTTTTAAAAGAAATTTGGTGCAAATAAATCTTCTGCAAAAGACACCAACTGCATTTTCATTCACAAAGCTCAAGCTTCCGGATCTAGGCAAGGTCAGCCTAGGCCAGTGGCTGGCAAACTGCGGCTCACGAGCCACATGCAGCTGTTTGGCCCCTTGAGTGTGGCTCTTCCACAAAATACCACGTGCAGGTGCTCAAATACAGTGCAATTGAAACTTCGTGGCCCATGCACAGAAATCAGATTTCAGCTCTGAAAAAAAAAGTCAATCATTGTACTGTTGATAGTTGGCTCTGTTGACTAATGAGTTTTCCCACCTCTGACTAGGCGAGCATGAATATTACCCTGAGGCCTGTCCCAGAGTTGAGATGCCAGGGTCTGTGAGGGAAGGGCTCCGGGGGTAAGAGGGGCCCATATGGGAGCCAGTGCCTGTGCACCGCGTTGGGAACAGCTCTCCTGGGCTCAGTCCCTGAACCCTCCCGAGAAGCCACTCCAGGAGCCCAGGAGGGAGCAGAAGCTGAGGCTGAGCAGGGACTCTCCCTTGACCTCTTCCGGGGACCAGATGGCCAGGTCACACCTGAGGGGACCCTGGTTGTTGAATCAGATGATTACCTAGTCATCTGCCTCTCCACTCAACCAGTCTTTGAAATCAGTAATTTAATATTTATAGGCATATTTCACATATATATTATCTTCTATATATATATTTCATATATATATTATATATATCTTATAATATATATAATATATATTATATATATTATTATATATAATATATAATATATAATATATTATATATATTATATATAATATATAATAAATATATATATTATAAGATAATATATATATTTCATATATATATATTATCTTATAAAGACTAAAAATACTAGCTCCAGTTTAAAAACAACTTTCCTATAAGGAAAAAGAGAGCATTGACGTTTACTCCTGGGTCTGGTTTCTTAGCTAAACTGAAGCTGAAGAGAGCGCTCTGTTACTATTTATGTTAAGTGGCATCCGTCATGTCTACTCATAATGCCTCTCAGTGGGTTTCACCAGAGAGAGATCGTTGTAGGCTTCATCTCTTTCCTAAATGACTGCTCTGGAGACCACACAAGTGCCTTTGGCCTCAGTCAGCTCACAGCCGGATGCTGGAATGACCTGCTAACAGCAGCAGACACAGCGTTCCCAGGGAGCCAGGGGGAGGGCAGCCCCCGGAGCAGGTGTCAGCAGTGTCCAGGTCTCTGCAGTCAGCGCCTTCGTATCCCTGGTAACAGTGACAGGAGAACTTCTGCGCCATCGCTGCCAGGTCTGCCTCGGACGCCTCTCCTTTCACATGGAACTCTCCGTCCTCAGAGGCCTCTATGTGGAAACTGACAGGGTTCAGGTGCAGGTAATGCGGGGCTTTCCAGGCCTTCCGCACGCACCTCCCGTTGTTCCTGCAGAGGCGCAGGCTGCACATCTCCGCGGCGCTGGTCACGTTGACGATGTAGCTCCCTAAATCGGAGCTCACAAACCGCTTCACCTTGGTGCAGTTGCCCTAGACGTGTAGAAACAAACGCTGTTAGTGTGTGTGTGGTTTTTGCTTTGTGTTTGTTTGTTTTTGGTGTGTGTGTGTGTGTGTGTGTGAGTGTGTGTGTGTGAATGTGTGTGTGAGTGTGTGTGAGTGTGTGTGTGTGTGTGTGTGTGTGTGTATGTGTCCCATTATGGCTCTAAGTAGAGGCCAGCCGGTGTGTGCAGTCAGCTTCCTTATCAAGCTCTTCTCATGAGCCACACAGGCTGGAGGGGAAAGGTCACCCCTGGAGAGACAGGAACTAATTCTGTCCGTTTTTACCAAGTTCATATGTGAACAGAGGAGGCTTTTAACCTTGTGTTGTCAGAAATAATTTCATGGACAATATCTTAGTAGCAACAGACTGAGGCTATGAAATTTGAAGAATATCAGGTGATTATGAACATTCAAAAAATTCAATTTAACAAAAATGGCTGAGGGTATAGGTTAAGACAAAATACATTGCACTACAGTGATATAATCACACAACATCTGGAAATATAGAAGAGATTGTGATTCATGTGGGTTAGGGAAAACTGGGAAGACTTCTTGGAGTAAATAGTGTCTAAGCTGGGAGAAAGTTGAAGAGCCATATAAGTCTTATTTGAAATGTCATTAATTTTCAGCTGATTTCTTCTAGAGGAACAATAAGTTCAATGTGAGGATTAAAAAGTTACCATCTGTTTCTATTTCTCAAAATAGGATGTAAGATATTTTATGTGAATATTGAATGCAAGGGCTCCAGAATGAAATTGTATGGTTAATGCCAGTTCCACCACTAACTAGCGTAACTAGCTATTATCTCAGTTTCTTCTTATTTCATCATCTGCAAATAAGGATAGTAGCTCCTGCCTCATAAAGGTAATTATGATTAATAAGAGAGCAAATTCAAAACAATAAAGCACTTAGTACAATCTTAGCACATATACATTCAACAAATATCAGTATTTTATTACAATCTTTTTAAAAAATAATTCTTCATTGTTGAAAGTATTACATATGTGTCCCCCCCTTTTCCCCTACTGAGCCCCTCCAGTTCCCTACCCCAGGCATTCAGCACCCTGAGGTCCATGGGTTATGCATATATGCATACAAGGTCTTTAGTTGATTACCTCCTCCCACCTGCCTGCCTTATTACTATCTTTAATAAAAGTTAATATTTATTGAGCTCCTTCTGTGTATCAGGCACTCGTTTGGACTTTTTTCTAAAGCAGCTTTACTGGGGAAGCCATGAGACCTCTGATAAGTGAGCTCTCTAGGAAAACAGAGCCAATTCTTTAAACAGCATCATCTAGACCTTCGAGGTACGGTCTTACCTTGGATGAAGTTAAATTCATGTCTCCCCAAATAACAAAGCCCGCAGCTCCCAAGGCAGCACTTTCTCCAATGGTCCTGATTAGATCTTGCTAGATTGAAGAGAGTAGAGTTCATCATTCATTTGAATATAAGACAACATGCCAGGAATTAGGATTGGAGGCTGAGTTCAGTCCAATCAGATGAAACTGTTTTCTATTTTCTCAGGCTAACAACAATGTTGAAAGACCCAAGGCTCAGAAATTAACACTCTATAATCCTATGGACAAACCTATTAACTATCTTTAAAGTAACACATTTAGTCCAACAAGATATTATTTTGAAGTCAATTAGCCTGTTAATAGCCACAAAAAGTTGTTTCATTGAACCTGCTATATGTATAGGACCCAGAAACAGAATGGGAAAGTTTTCCTTCTCCAAATGTGAGGAATGGCTCAGATTTCTCTTTGCTAAGTCACCCTTTCTATTTGCAACACTCTGCTGAGAGCATCAACTCTGCAGTGACTGGGAAGATTTTGTGTCATTTGGATCCCAGGACCAGGCAAAGGAGCTCAGTGAGGAGGAGTTGCAGGATTTGGATCTGGCCCTTCTATTTGGTCTCTGAAATCATTTGTGTTTAATATTAGAGTACCTGTCTCAATAAACTTTACTTATGACTCATCAAGTTCTAATAGGCCTGCTGAAACTTTTATCAACTTGGTTAAGATAGATGAAAACTGTATTTCATCAGGGAGAGTTTGGTTTTGTAACCCTAAATGATCATCATTTTAGTGTTTTAAGATTAACTGGGATTCCTTGATCTCAGAGGGAAATTTAGAGTTGAATGTATGCAACTGGTTTCCTAAATGAAGTTTCTACAGCAGGTTTCCTAAATAAGTTTCTTAAATTACAAAATAGTCCCCCATTATATGCTAGAAGATGTAATTGTGTGATTTGGTGGCAAAGAAAAACAGAGCTTTAAGCTGTATTTTGCCTGGGATGTTCTATATTAATACTAGAGGCCTGGTGCACAAATTCCTGCATCAGTGGAGTCCCTCGGCCTGGCCTGCAGGAGCAGGTCAAAGCTAGCTCTCCAACATCCCCTGAGAGATCCCAGATTGGGAGAGGGCCCAGGCTATGCCAAGGAACTCCACCAGTGCATGATTGGGGAGGAATGCAGGAGGTTGCCCAGCCCAGGAAGGACTGTGGGAGGGCTCCAGTACATGTCCAGCCCATCTAACTCAGCAGTCTCACCCGATTGGCCCAACCCAGCTGCAAGCTAACCTGCAAGTCTGGTGGTCAGTGCACGTCATAACGGCTGGCCACCTGGTCAACTGTCTGCCCTCTCGGGGTCAGGGCACATCATATGACAGTTGAGTGGCTTTAGCATATCATTACTATATTACCATTTGATTGGTTGAATGAATGACCAGACACTTAGCACATTAGGCTTTTATTATATAGGATCAATACTGAAGAAATAAGTCTCCTTACCTGTTACTTTTATCTGATACCACTCAAATGAATGGTTTTGCTATCTCAATTTTTAATTTTCTTTCTGGACATTTTCAAATGAAAAATGATTTTGGTTTAAAGTAATTCCCCTTTCAGGTGCACATCCCTTTCCATTTGCAATGACCATAGCATCTGCTGAATAGGTCAGCACTGTTAACATGACAGGAAGGGGAGATTTTGTGAGGCTCAAGTGAGAGAGTGCAAGTGCCCAGAATGAAGCCTGTCCATGGTCTTTTTTGTTTTTGTTTTTTAAATATTTTTTATTGATTTTTTTACAGAGAAGAAGGGGGAGAGAGAGCGAGAGCGAGAGAGAGAGAGAGAGAGAGAGAGAGAGAGAGAGAGAGCGCTAGAAATGTCGATGAGAGAAGAACATCGACCAGCTGCTTCTTGTACACCCCCTACTGGGAATGTGCCCACAACCAACATACATGCCCTTGACTGGAATAGAACCTGGGACCCTTCAGTCCGCAGACCAGTCCGCAGACCGACGCTCTACCACTGAGCCAAACCGGTTTCTGCTCCATGGCCTTTTTTGGCAAAGACAAGAGAGAAGAGCTCCTCCCTCTTACTCACTTTGGAATGTCCCTGAATATAGTGATGTCATACTCGCATGGTGTCATGCTGTGATCTGTGTGGCCCAAATTCCCCCAAACCTTCTATGAATTTCAGAGATCTCAGCTACCTTGGATATTCTGTTCTGTTTTTTTGTTTTGTCTTAGTCTTTATTTGCATTCCTTTTCAGTTTTGGAAGCTTCTATGTAGATATCCTTAAACACAAAGACTCTTTTCTCAGTCATGTTCAATCTAATAAGCCTTCAAAGACACTCTTCATATCCATTACAGTGTTTTTGATATCTAACATTTCTTTCTGGTTCTTTTTTTAAAATTCCCTTCTTTCTGCTAACCTTGTTCATCTGTTCTTGCATGCAGTCTACTTTATCCATTAGAATCCTTAGCATATAAATCCTTAGCACAATGGCCAGCAAACTCATTAGTCAACAGAGCCAAATATCAAAGGTACAACGATTGAAATTTCTTTTGAGAGCCAAAAACCGACTTCTGCTCATGGACCACGAAGTTCTAATCACACTGTATATGCGCACCTGCATGTGATATTTTGTGGAAGAGCCACACCCAAGGGGCCAAAGAGCTACAAAGCTGCCATTCCTTGGAGTATTTCCTCAATCTGTTGAGATTTTGCTTCCCAGCATATGTTGTCATTTGGCTCAAATAAACTCATATAAATTCTCTACAGGTTTCTTAGGTTATGTCAATACTGGCCAATAAGTAAGCATGACAATAGGACCCCTGTTGGCCTCTTACTAATAAAAACTAAAAGAACTGGAGGCCTATACCCAGGCTTGGCCTCATATGCGTAAACTTTCTAAAATTACCAAGACAGTTAGTTCTTTGATAATGATATTTTCAGGTTATAAACAACCCTCTCATCATTACCAAAAGCCGCTTTCATTTACCTGGGTTTCATGTAGCAGCCATCAGTCAGAAATGGTCACATGAAAAGTCACACACCCTCTGTTTTCTGAGAAGGATTTCATTTCTCGGGTCTCCATTTCCAAGCTCTCAGAAAGCTTTTATTTGGAAACTTGATTATATCTATGACAATCATAATTTTTATTATTTAATTTCTTGCAAACTTTAAGAATAATATTTATTTTTACTATGAGCCTATATTCTATTGCTTTGTAAAAATTTAGTGATGCAACAAGTGGATATGACTTAAGTGAAAAAGCTAAATATAAAGTTGTTTACTGTAATTACAACCATAAAACACAAAATCAGACACAAAAATCTAGGTCATAACTCTCCAAAACGGAGGAGTTAAGCTAGAATGCTGACATACTGGTCACCTCCACTGGCCCAGCTCCCAGCACTGTAAGTATGCAATGCAATAGCTATTTGGTAAACATAATAATTTTTAAAAGTGCCCACAGTTACACAATTCTTAAGAAACAAATTCTTCACATTTTCACCCAGCAGATGGTGCTACTTCCTTACAATGTCTATAGTGTCAGTTTGAAGTATCTGTATTCATATTCAAATTTGTAAACTTTTGTTATTCCAGACACCATAGGGCAATAAGGAATTTTATAAACTTGGTAGGATTCACCTAAGCAGTTCTTCAGTGATAGAGAGCTGTCATACCTTCCAGCTGTGACAGCCAGGCCCTCTCTAGGGCAAAACATACTCCAAAGAGCTAGAACAAATATTTCAAAGAGCTGGAACCAATACTCCAAATCTTGATATGAAATCATATCTGCAGTAATCTTGAGATTATCTGCAGTAATCTGCAGTAATCTTGAGAAAGAAGAATGAGGTAGGAGGGATCATAATTCTGGCATCAAACTATACTACAAAGCCATTGTAACCAAAACAGACTGGCACTGGCACAAGAACAGGCATATAGGTCAATGGATCATAACAGAGACCCCAGAACTTGACCCACACCATTATGGTCAATTAATATTTGACAAAGGAGGCAAGAACATACAATGGAGTAAAGACAGTCTCTTTGACAAATGGTGCTGGGAAAACTGGCACATACAAAAAGATGAAACTAGACCACCAACTTATACCACACACAGAACAAACCCACGGTGAATAAAAAACTTAAATGTAAGGCATGAAAATATAAAAAAATCTTAGAGGAGAACATAGGCAGTAAAATCTGAGATATCTCAAATAACAATATGTTTACAAATACATCTCCTAGGGCAAAAGAAACTAAAGAGAAAATAAACAAATGGAACTACATCAACATAAAGTTTCTGCACAGCAAAAGAAACCACCATCAAATTCAAAAGGAAACCCACTGAATGGAGAACATATTTGCCAATGATACATCTGATAAGGGGTTAATATCTAAGATATATAAAGCACTCATACAATTCAACAAAAGGAAGAGAAACAACCTGATTAAATAGATATTTCTCCAAGGAGGACATACAAATGGCTGAGAGACACATGAAAAAGAAAAATGCTCAGTCACTAATCATCAAAGAAATGCAATTTAAAACCACAATGAAATATCACCTCACATCTGTCAGAATGGCTATCATCAAAAAAATCAACAAACAAGTGCTGATGAGGATGTGGAGGACAGGGAACCCTGTGCACTGTTGGCAGGACTGCGGATTGGTGCAACCACTGTGAAAGGCAGTACGACATTACCTTAAAAAAATTAAAAATGGAATTTCCATTTGACCCAGCAATTTCATTTCTGGGAATATATCCTAAAATTCCCAAAACACCAATCAGAAAGAATATACGCACCCCTATATTCATAGCAATGTTATTTATAATAGCTAAGATTTGGAAACAGCCCAAGTGCCCATCAGAGGATGAGTGGCTAAAAAGCTATAAGACACTTACACTATGGAATACTATGTAGCTATAAAAAAGAGGGATGGATCTCTTACTCTTTGGGACAGCATGGATGGACCTTGAAAATATTATGCTAAGTGAAATAAGCCAACAAAATAAGACCCAAGGCAAGGAGTCATGGAACAGA